TCATAGCTAAGGAGTTTTTTTTTTTTTCTCTGACATCAGTTTTTTGCAGCTGCCTGAGAACCCAGCCTATTGAACAAACTTCATCAGTGCTCGGCGAGGCTGCCAGTGGATGGCACAGGCCTAGGTGGCTGGCCATGGGTTATTGCTACCAAAGGATGGTAACTCCTGGGCACCAGTGTCTTGCCTGGTGAAGTGCATAAAAAAGAAAGCCTTATAACCATGCTCACTTTCTTAAGGTGTAAGATGCTCCCCTCTTCCCAACTATCTGGGTTTCTCCCCTGAAAAAACTCTGATGCCTTTTTTTTTTTCCTCAGTGTGTTGTAGGCCCCTCTAAGGCTAGGGACAGAAACTGCACATAAACCAGCATAGAATCATAGAAGTTGGGTCGGAAGTGACCTTGTAGATCTTCAAGTCCAACCCCCGCCTGGGCGGGAGAAAAGACTGGACTCAAATGAGTCCAGCCAGGTAGTCATCATAAGAAAACAGTTCAAATCTGTAACACAACAGAAGTTCAGTGCACATAAGCAGGTTTCAAAATGCTGCAAACCAGTTTAAGATAAACCTGGATGGATGTAGTATCAGATTGAACTGATTTAAACTAAATCAGTTCATTGAACTTCTGTCCCAGATTGCCTTGTGCACTGTTGGACTGGAGCGTATAGGTTTTTTTTTTTTTCCTCTTCAAAATACTTTCTCACAAGGGTTTCAAGCTGCTGATTTATCTGGCCCCTCCCTGTTTATCAATCAAGCTGCTGCTTTTTATTTAAAAAAACCCAAAACAAAACAACTCCCCCTCCTCAATTAACACAAGGTGCAGTCTTATCAGTGAGGTCCCAGTTGCAGACTATGGGACTGGTACATGGGTGGGTGATGCTTAGTCACCAGGGCTTGTTGTGAGTTGAGAGCTTTTAGCTAATTTGTATCTTCTAACAGAAGATACAGGCCTGTCCTGTTAGCTAATGTTGCTGCATTTTATACTGCACGTGGGTACGTGGTTGCAAACTGCATGCATTGAAACCTTCTTTTTGGAGGCCTGCAGTGTAGCAGCCATCACAGTCTGTGTTGCCCCATTACAGAAGTATACTGCTTGCTGTACTGGATCCAGAAATAGGCTCTTCCTAGCAAAAGTCCAAGGTTAAGGGTGAAACTGGAACTTTGTGGCTTCTCTGCCCCTCGATGTAATCTCCCAAATATTTCCCTAAATGGCCAAGGTCATCACTTAAATTGTGACAGCCTTATTTTGAGAAGATTGAAGCCTTATTTCCTTCAAGCTCCTATGAAGGAAGGAAGTCAGCTGACTCAAATTTGGTTGCTAAAGTCCTTACAGTAACTTGGCACTCCAGGTTGAAACCATCTGTGGCTGGTTTTGTTTTGTTTTGTTTATTTTTTTTGAAATCCCGGTCAGATTTTTCATGGATGAACTCCAGACATGGAAATTATCAATGCTTTTTACCACCATCTGGCAGATGTTTTTCAACTAAAGGCATGACTCTTGAAGAGTGGCTTTGGTTCCTCATTGTTATTCTATTGCTGATGGGACCTGTCAAGTCAAATCTATATGACTGCAAAGGAGGACTCATCAGGTTTAATTCAGTGAGCCGATTTCAAGGGTTTGAAAATGAACTACTGCTGGTTGATAGAGATCTCTTCTGAAAGTAATTAACAGGATTAATTAAGCCTCATATTGCATACACAGCTTCTTCATTTTAATGTTAACACATTAAAGGCATACTCAAGTTTTCTAACGTTCTCCCTGCCCCCCCCCCCATCAGACTTCTCATGTAATTCTGAAATTAGCAAATGAATAGATACTTTCATAGCAGGCCTGGTAGGAGTGAAGCCTCCATACTTAAGCCACTTCTCGTTCATGTAGGGTATGTGTGTGACTTGCCTTGCTCTCAAAGGGAGCTGCTGACACCTCAAAAGAGGACTCTGCATCAAGTATAACTGCTAACAGCGACTGCAACAGTATGATCAATGACCTGGTCTCTTTGGTACCAGGTCCAAAACAGCTTCTTAGATTTCATAGACATCATGGCTGGAAGGGACCTCGTGAGATCAGTGGGTCTAGCCCCCTGCCCAAGGGGCAGGAAGTCGGCTGGGATCAGATTTCTCCCCCCCCCCCCCCCCCCCCCCCGCAAGATAAATAACCAAGTGTTTCTTGAAGGTATCCAGGGTAGGTGCTTGTACCACTTCTGGGGGAGTCTGTTCCAGATTCTGGGGACTTGGATGGTAAAGAAGTTTTTTCCTAATGTCCAGTCTAAAATGGTCTTCAGCAGCTTGTGACCGTTGGACCCTGTCTTCCCTTGGGGTGTCCTGGTGAACAGATGTTCCCCCAGTTCTCAATGCATACCCCTGATGTACTTATAAGTTGCTACCAAGTCCCCCCTGAGCTTTCACTACTCCAGGCTGAAGGGTCCCATGTTCCTCAGCCTCTCCTAAAGCCTGTTCTTTTCACTGCTAATCTTTGGTTCAACCAGTAATTCTTAACCTTTTAAAACTCAAGCTACCCCTCTAATTTTTTCTGAATTTGGTAGTACCGTGATTGAGAAGCATTGTAAAATCCCAACTTGCCTACTTTATCCCCAAGCTGTTGCTACTAGGTGGAACTGCCCTGCATGCCTCTTTCCAGGAAGTGCGTGCAGGCCTGGATGGGGAAGTAGCTGTGGCAGGTGTGAGCACTCCTGCCCGCATTAGCTTTTGCTTTACAGAAGCCAAGTGTGGTGGTGCCTGTGTGCGCTGCTTCCTGTTTCCAGTGTGACCTTTAAAATGGTCTTATGGCACTTTGGTTGAGAACCACTGGGTTAAACTCTTCACTTGGCAGAACTTGAGATCCAAGAAAGCACCAGTCAGTCGAACTAGTTTTAGGACCGTCTTCTGGGCATTCAGCAACCTCGTGGTAGTAAAGACATGGGTTAACTCAGAAAAGATATGTACTACAGGAGATGTTCCCCTCTCGTCTGCTGAGATTCTTACCCACAGCTGTAACCTGGGCCTCCAGGAAGTAAAGCTTTGTGTCTTCAAAGGGTGGCAACATTAATCTTTGCCAGTGCTGAGTGGCAGCCAGGATCATCTCATTCATTCAAGCTCATCTAGACACCAAGTTATTCACTTCTGTTTGGGTTGTATGGAACCAGGTGGCATTACCTGTGCTCAGTTGTGAACTGTCTCTCTTTGAATGCTGGCATCAGGGCCAGACATGGGCGTAGGTGAACCAGGCAGCCACTCGGGGCCGGGACTGAAAGGGGGCCTGAAAATGGTGGTGGTTGTTGTTGTTATTATCGCTATCTCTGAAGTGGGGCCTGATACTAAAAGTTTGCCTGGGGCCACCAGGGATCTAGGTACAGTGCTGGCTAGCATTTGTAGTGGCTTGCTTTTGTGGTACAAGACAAGCACAGGGTGGCTGCAGTACACAAAGGTAGCGTAACATGTTGTTCCATGTGGTCTTAAGAAGGCGTTTCTGGCAGTAACTACAGGGACTGACTTGGAAGACTTGGCAAGGGTCAGCAACCACTGGCATGTGTGGCACATGAACACATTTTGCTTGCCCATGTGCCTTGGTGGATAGCAGAGTTGCATGCTCCAACAAGGATCGGGCTCCTCACAGCTCCCTTGCTGTCTGTCCCTGGCATGTCAACATCCGGCAAGCCAAGGTTGCAGGTGTGTTTGGCACCCAGCCCAAAAGCGTTGCTGACCCTTGACTTGGGGCATCCCACAAAGTCTGTAAGAGTCACTTACCCAAGATAATTCTCTTTTGTTGGCTGTATCTTTTAGAGTTTCTCTTGACAAACAGTAGGATAATTAGTTTAAAGAGCCAAATGGAGGAGTCCTTAAGAGCCTTATTCTCTTGAGCCCTTCAAGGCTAGGGTCGCCTTCTTAGATCCAGCCTTACTGGCAATCTGCAGAGGATGGACCTCCTTCAGCTAGTAATTTGTGGTCCCAGAGGTAGGAAACTTTTCTGGTTTACCCAGCTATTTGTGTTTTTAAATTCTCCTAAACCTAGTGGAAAGTCAGAGTGGTTGCCTGGCTTCAGCATATATCCAAGTTTTTTTTTTTTTTTGTTTGTTTTTTTTTGATACACAAGCTTGTGGCTAAACTAACACTTCCTCTTTTTGATCAAAGTCAAACTATCCTCAACAGTTCTGGTGGACGGAC